TTTTCCACTTATTCTCTTAAAGATTCCATGAAATTGCAGGTCAACCACTCTTTATTTTATATGTATTAAGTGTTTTCTGTATTTAATACATGTTAAGTATATGATACATATATACAATATTAAATTCATAATAGACCAATGATTATTATAGTTACTGTTTAAAATTATTTTGAACAATGAAAGTTTCTTCTAGATTCTTTATATTTTTCAGATCGTTCGCTGAGTGTTACTTATCACAATATTCAGTTCAACCAATATCTATTGGGAGCCTTCCATGTGCCAAGTGGATTTTAACATTTCTGCCACTTAAAAGGAGGTTGTTAATTTTGGCTAAGTTCTCCACATCTCTCGGTTTTTCCTTCTTCATCATCAGTAATTAGCTCCTCATCTTATAGCACTAGTAAAAGCCCTTACATCTGGATGAGAGGAATGAGAAAGGAATGAGAAAGGAAAAGGTATTCCACTTAATAAACACAATTTTATTTAAAAATTGAAATCTAATTCTCTAGTTTAGCTATATATTATAGCTTCACTTTTAACTTACAACTACAAAATATATCACATAGAAGATATGGAAAGAAATGGATAATAGGATTATATTTATCTTTTCTGTATTTTCATTATCTTAAGACACTACAAATAAAAACACAAGAATGCACTGTGTTTCACATACTCACAACTGTAAACCTACTTTTGCCCCACTCTGTATAATTCCTGGAGCTCACAGATTCCTGAAGGCTGTAGAGGTCCCGGGTTAAGGATCTCTTTTCACTGAGCAAATAGAGTATCATTTTCAATGTCTTTAGTGCTGGGGAAGCTAGTGTTTACCTTCCCTCTATTTACAGTTGATCCACTCAACTGCCCTGTTCATCCCTTCCCCTCCCCCACACCACGTGTGGGTGAGCAGACCCATCAATATAATGACTAAGGATCCTCAACTGGAAAAAAAAAGGGGGGTGGGGGGGCTGTGTGCTGCTACCTCCAATTTGTTTGCAAGTTCTAGAATTATGTATCAGAGAGCAAGAGGTAGCCAAAGGAAGCCAGGGTATGGAGAAGGTGGGCACTGGTGGAGCTGTTGCAGAGGTGAGGTGATGCAGCCAGGTCTGCCTACTTGTTGCTGCTCCATCAAGTGAAAGCTCAGTGTAACATATTAGGGAAAATCAGGCTACAGAGCATAGCCATCAAGGGGTTCTCTCTCTTATAGACTCCGGGTCAAGACATATGAAAGTAAATAAGATAGAAATCCTTACTAGGGGCTTTGCACGGTTCACGTTTGGGTTATTTTAAACTTGTTTTCAGGGTCTTTGACTTCTCTGGCACGAGCTTCCAATGCTGCAATGGAGAGGAGAAGGATCAAGATGCAGGAGCTGAGCTACCCTGGTCCCTCTTTGAGAAGAAAGAATGTAAAGAATTCATATGCCCAAAGCAATCAGTGACTCACTGCTACACCTGCCAAGGGAGTTTGTATTGCAGAGATGAAGACACAACTTATACAACTTACCTTCATCTACATTTCATAAACTCAAGATAGTATTACTCATCTGCCCCTTTTCTGCACTCTGCAACGCTATAAGCTTCTCTCACTTCCTTTAGTCAGATTTACCCATTCCTGTTACATCAGCTCAACGGAAGCAGGATACCAGTTTTATTTTTAGGTGTTCTTGGTGATGCATAGACCTCACCCCCCTTACAACTGTTCAGATACCTAGTCTTCTAGTATTTCTAATAGTAACTAGTAGTTTTACATTCGTTCCCATTTGTTTTTATTTGTTCCTACAAAGTGTGGTGGTTAAGTGCATAAAGTCAATGTAGACTGTTGAATCCAAAATCCCGCTACAATGTTGCTTTGTGATCTCGGGCAAATGGCTAAACCACTCTATGCCCATTTCTTCATTTATGAAGTGCAGACGAGAACAGTACCCACCTCATAAGGCTGGTGAGTTAATACATATAAAATGCTTAGAACAGAACTTGGCACAGGTGAGTGCTCAGTATGTCTTCACTATGGCTATTAGGCTGCTTGCTCAGAGTACTGCATTCTCAGCATCTACAATGTGTGAATCAACTGCTGGTAACTTTCCACTTGTCAGTCCTTGAAATGAAATACAAACTCCCATGGTACACTGGCAACATGCTCTCAGGTCTTCTGCCTCCTGAGAAGGCGTGTTTGTGAAGGCACGCCATCATTATCCTTTTCTCTCGGGGCCAGGAAAGGCTCCAAAAAAGAACTTGTATTCACTGGGTGTTTTCTATTTGCCAGTAAAAGACATGCCAGTGTGGTGAAGGGGGCTAAGGTAAGACAGTGCAGGGGCAATAATCTGATCTCAGTTGTCCCAGCAGCTATGTGGGTGGAGCAGGCTTCACAGAGACCTGGGGCCCAGCATTTAGGGCACCACTTGGAATCCAGAGACACACTCTCTCCGTGATTACAGAACACTGCTTAAGAAAGAGGGTCTATTTGGATTCATTGGTTTCCATCCAAGGCACCCCTTTGGGAGAACTGTCCACCAAGACAGTACAGAGATGGTTAACCCCGTGCGTGTTGGACCCCAGGAGCAGAATCTGGAAGGGGATCGTGAAAGCCTGGATTCCCTCTGATATTTGTGTAAGGTTACGGACTATGAATTTTGAAGCTCTGAGTCATCTACTTTGTCAAGATTCTAGCAAAGCCCCGTCACATAAACGAGTTTAAAAGTTTTATGCTATACAATGAAAGGCAGAGGAATAGTGGAGCCATTCCAATGATGAGCCCCCTTTTCCAAGTGTCTACCATATCATTTACCATATCATTAGCTCTTGGTACAGCCCTGGCTGATTGCAATTTCAGGGGAATCCAGGGGAACAAAATCAATGGAGAGGCGGAGTTTCAGATGCAAGAGGAGGGGCCCAAGATGGAATAAGACAAGAACATTGTTGACTTTGACAAGGAATGGGGAAATTCATTCAAATGAGGAGAGGAGAGGAGAGGAAAGGAGAAGTTTTGAGAAAAGTTGAATGCATAGATGTTAACATAGCATCAGTGGATCTTGTACAGCAGCTGAGACGATCTGCTAAGGAGAAATGCAGATTTGGATTGGAATCTCAAGGAGAATTGAAAGAATGAGAGGATTTTTTTTTCCTCGTATCTCTTTCCAATCCTAGACAGAACCACCAAATTAACCATTGCCATCATGATTCTGCTCCAAAACTGTCAATAGTTGCCCACTGCCTACCCCCTAGGGTTCAAACACCTCAGGCTCAGATTGAAGGCATCCACCATCTGGGATGTGTCCTTCCTCCCCAGATCTCCCACAACTGCTGGCTCCCACAACTTTCCATTCCAGCTAAACGCATTGACTGCCCTTCAGACATCCTTTGTCACTTCCCGTTTTTGTCCCAGCTGCTCCTTTCATCTTGTGTGTCCTTCCTTCACCATGTTTTATTTCTGCTTGAAGGCTCAACTCTCATTTCCACTGGGATGCATTCTCTGATCCCCAATATTAGAAGCAACCTCCCTCTTTTCTGCACATCCACATAACTTTGTTCATACTTCTCTTACGACACTTCTTTGCAGTCTTTCTTACACTGTGTTAACTTTTACACTCTCCTCATCTTCCTACTATATTATAAACCTAAGGGCAGGATTTTTGCACTACTCGCCTATATACTCCATAATTCTCATACTCCAATGCAAAATATACTTAGCTAAAGGAAATGTTCTACTAATATTTGTTGACGCTAATGCTAAGGGGGAAAACTCATATTAGACTGAATATTTGGAAGTTTCCTGTGAACCTGCACAAATTGGTCCTATGGACATATTCTTTTTTATATGGCTGGAACATTGTAGGATGCAGCTATAGGGTTAAGCCTTGGACTGACCTGTTGGCAAAGCCACACACAAGTCCCAGCTTAGAGGGCACAGTCCTCTTAGCATAATTAGGCTGCACCTTATGAGGCTCCCTAGATCTTATCTGGGAAGCTAATGGGCTGAGGGAGCTGCAGCAAGTGCTGCCAAAACAAGTGAAACTCATAAGAACATTGTTACTATGGTGACCACTACCTTGTTTACCTCTGGCTATAAAATAAAGGCTCAGCTTGCTGTCTGGGTCTCTCTCTGTGGCCTCAGCCAGGCACAGGAGATCCACCTAGACCCAGCTTATTCTCTCTGTCTGTCATTTCTTGATCCATTCGCCACCCTCACGCAGGCTTTGGAACCCTTGGCTGAGCTGGCTTGGCACAGAACGTAAATGTTCTAAATACATAATACATCGTTCATTCATTCACTTACTCATTCGTTCATTCTTTCATTCACTCATTATTCAGTATAAATGTATTGAGTACCTACCAAATGTGAGGCATACGCATAATAAGGATGCACTGGTTCTGGATATACGCAGAGGCACTCCTCATCACCACTGTTAGCCAAGAGCAATGTGTAATAGGAGTGACCTTCATTTAAGTTGTGTCCTATGGTGTTAGAATGAGCCTTGTCATGCACAGAACCAAATCAGATGCCATTTTAGCATCAACAGAATATTGGCTTTTTAGACATTCATCTTTGTGTTTGTTTGGAAATTTTGGTTTAAAAAATATCAATTATACCTCCCCCCTTTTCTCTCTTGCCTGTAATTATTTTCCTGGCATTTATTCAGCAAAGAGCTTCAAGTCCATTTCTGCAGATTGAAATAAACTGATGAAAATTGAAAAATCAATGTTTTCCTTCTAATGGTTTGGATAAAAAAGTAAAAAAGCTTCCAATTTTGTAATTATAATCAATATATAATGGGACAATGGCCACAAATACACACTTAAAAAATAGATTGGTTTGGTGAACATTTGTTTTTAAATAATCAGGTACTTTTTTTTTCAGCTTTTAAAGATGCTGTATGTAAAATACATTTTAAAATGTTGTTTCAAGATACGAGTGCATCTCAACTTGATGTCTACCTAAAGCCTTAGATGTCCCCGCCCTCTCCTGTCAGGGTCTTTATCCATGCACCTGGTTGTGGGACACACAGGCCTGCCTGTGGCTTCCTAAGGACCCATCCTTTATCTGCACAAGTCTTACTAGTATGAAGTCCACTCTAGAGGTGGCTTCTTCAGCCAGGGGCGTCCTGGATCTTTCCAGACTCCTTTGCAATGCTGCCTGATGCGGTGACTTCATTGCTTTCCCAGCCTGGCGCTTGGCAGGCTGTCTCCCTTCCTTCCTTCCCCATCTCCCTCTCTTTTCTCCCACGGCCCATCTGCCCCTCCTTCCCTCCACCCCCCTCTCCGCTCTGCTCCCCTTTATTTCCACTCCCCACCCGCGTGGCTTTGCGCTCCCTCTCTCTCCCCCTTGACTTGTCTGTATTTGGAGCTCCCGGAAGCCTGCGGCTCTCCCCGGGAGCAGCGTGACCGACACCGACTCCCATTCAGGGGAGGGAGGAGGGGAGAAGGGCTGACGGGAGGAGGTCGCGAGTGGCGGGCCACGGATTTGGCATCGCGGGGACAAGACCCCAGGACGCCCAAGCAGGTAATCCTGGAGCGCTGG